ATAATACAAGCACGAAACAATAAACCGTTTCGGAAGCATCTTGGATCCTCCAGGCTATCCTAATTATCCCCAGCAAAAGGGACGAACGGCGAATACTAACGCGACGTTAATTACAAACTGATTTAAAAGGTCGTTCCACGGCGTGTACCTAGAATCCGCGAATATTCGCAGGATCACGCGAATTAGCCGCATGCAGGATAATCTACGAGCCCGAAGGGGGTCGTTACTTACGCGTCATGAACCCCCTTAGCGATTGCCTCGATAGCACGCGAAAGAATAGCCCCGATTTTCGGCCACAATTTTCTTCCTTCCAGCAAATTAATCTAGCTTTTACCGTGCGATACTCTCGAACATTAAACGCGGATGGTAGACGTACGAAACGGCAATAGCCCGTTCCCCTTTTATTCTCGCCTCGAAAAATGAGCCTTTATTTCATCGGTGGAGCGTAAGGAGAGCCGCACTTCTGCCACCTAAACGGCACAAGAAACGGTTGCTGGAGTCTCTTATAGCGAGAGAAGTCGGGATGGCTCCCCACAGTCGGCCAAAGTCCCGTGTACCTAATGCAATGGTTTATTGCTAATATTTCTCCCGAGTAATATCGGTTCGCGCCTCTTCAGCTACAAGTTTCTCTTATATTCCGCGGAGGACCCTAAGAAACCGCGCCTTCGCCTTCTATTACTTATTCCTGCCTCTGTATTTACATTCGAGGCTTGCACGGACCACCGGCAGAAGAAAAATTTACAATACGATGATTTTATTTATTCAAAAAATTCGCAACACGTGGGCCACGCTATTTTTATCGTGTCCATGAATTTTCTCAACTCGGGAGCTTTGTTTATCCTTGTGTATGTATTGTACGTCTGTTAAGATTCGAAATTTGAGGAAATATTTAGTATACTTTTATTTGTTAAAAAATTCGCAACACGTGAGGCATGCTGTTTCTATTGTGACTGTGAATTTTCTCATTTCGAGATCTTTGTTCTCGCGTTACACGTTATTATACGTCTGTCAAGATTCCTAATTTCGAGAAAATATATACATTTAAGTATACAAATGTGTAAATTTAAACCGGAAGATCGGAACTAATAACGAATTGGGAGATTTGCTACTCGATATACGTAGATTTCATAGTTATCGTGACAGCCATGAATGAACATGGAGAAAAATAATTCAGAACGAATGATGATTTTTAAGTTCTGGTTGGTTTATGACATAATTCAGAATTTGGTTTTCTCAGACCGATTATCTGAATAGATTAGATTAGATTCTATTGTATCTGCTTTGAAAAAATTAATATTGACTCTTATTCGAATAAAAAGATAATAGTATGCGGTTATCTGCCTTTGTCGAACTGTTAGAATTATCGTTATTTGTGTATAGCGTATCTAGTTGCTCGGTAGTCCCGATGTTAAATGCTAGGTAAAGATAGGTCAAAGACGCGAGTGACAAGGCGATTGTGTAAATTTGTACGTCACTTAAATACGGGCCCTTGGAAAAACTTGGGTGATGACTAACTATACAGCTTTGGCCGAAATTGGGGTGTCACCGGATCAGGGGTGATGGCGCCCATATGGAAACTTCAGCATCACCTAAATATGGGCGTTGATGCCTGTGGTGGAAATTTCAGTCTCACCCAAATGTACATAACGAAGTGTCCTCGAAATTTTCTCTGTCAACTAGCTATAGACCATTTAGAAATTTAGGGGAAATGTAGATATCTAATCGCCAGCAAAAAAAAGAGCAGAGAAAGTACTTACTGATAAAACAATGTCAGTGACAAATGTAGACAACGAAACCTTCTCAAAACTTTCTCCATCGAGCAGGTATGAATCACTTCAAAATTTCGAGAAAATCTACTCGATCGCCATTTTAATAAAAGTGCAAGAGAGTAACCAATGATGAAATAACTTGATCGATGTTACTTAATTCTAAGCTCTGAGATCCTGACAAAATATCTTTCACCCAAATGTAAATAAAGAGCCAAGAGATCTAAGTACGAATCTTCGAAAAATCCGAAAAAGGTATTGACCTTCCAAGAAAAATGATATTAAGAAGCTTCTCTAATTGTACTCAATTAATTTAAAAAATAGAAAACAGAAAAGAAGAGAATATCCAATAATGAAAATCCCATTAATATCACCTATACATATGTATCTACCGAATTTCTGATAAGAACTTGGGTATTACCCAAAAGTAATAAAACCCTCTCAAAATGTTAGATATCACCTAATCACGACTCGTCCAAAAATTAACCTTCCAAAAACTACACTAAAAGGATATTAAAAAATCTCTCCAATTATAACCCAAGCACGCGATTTTCCACGGGATATCCCGAAATCCCATCGATCACCAGGACCAATTAAGAAGAAAAGGAAAATATCCAATAGGAAAAATTCCACGAGTATCTAAATCCAGTAACCTTCTGATAAGAACAGGAACGCTACCCAAATCCAACTAAAGCAATCCAAAGTCCAAAATCTAAGTTATCACCTAAACCTAGGTCTGCCAGAAATCCGCAGAAGGTACCGAACCTCTGTTGAAAAGCGTTATCCAATTAACGGGATTTTATAAAGCGTATCCCAAAATCCCATCGATCACCAGGACCAGAATGACCGGAAAAAAAAAAGAGAAAAAAGCAGAGAAAGAAGGGGGCAGTAGCCAGAATAGGTAGACAATCCTACGAGTTCTGCGTGTCCCGGTAATCAGGTACAAACGAGTACACGGTGCAGAAGCACGGAGGCAGATTAAACGCGAGCCCGTATAGACGTGCTGTTCTATTCGGTCGAAACGATTAAACGTAACGAGTGCCACTATTGAGTAAGAACGTGCGAGCAGCAAACGAGGCAAAGAGATGGCCGAGGATCGGCGGACAACGCGGCCTTTCAGCCGGGTCTCCACCGACATTAATAGCTTCCAGAATTAAACGACGACTCGGGCAACGTGGCCCGACTCACGTACCGACGTATACATCATTGTCGACGTTGACGTACACCATCGTCGTACGCAGCACGCCGTTCTCTATCGTCGCGGCGACCGACAGCAAGAATAATCTGACCGTTTAATCATCGGACTTAATTTCGCAAACTGCTAGAGAGAAAATAAAGCCAACTCGGGAAAAATACGCCGCGATCGTTCCTTGGCGTAGGGCCCTGTTTTTACATCCAATTCCTCATCTTGTACCGACCAGTCGCTAGCCAAGAGCTTGGGCGAGCAGCTACGGACTATAACGATCATTCGTACCAGTTTCCGAGGGTATAGAGCGATGCGTAGATTATTCTATCGATTTGAAACTGACAAACTGGCAATCCTTTCGAGCAAATATCGATAATAGTTTCTCGCGTTTTAGCTGATTTTCCGATTTTAAAGGTCTTCCATTGGATTCTCGACGACTCGTCTATGAGGATTCTAGGGCTTTGATAGGGAGGACAGGTCTTAATTTGAAGAAATAAGCATTGAGCTGGTGAAATTCTATTATGTAGTTGCATAAATATCAGTGGGTTCTCTTGTTTCGTTAGATTCTAGTATTTTAAGTCTTTAGGGTAGTCTTGTAAGGATTCTAGACTTTTGATACGGAGTCTTGGTTCGAAAATGAATACGTTATTCACGAAATACTTGCGTGATATATATACATAGTACATATTCGAAGTACCGTTTGCCTGTTCTTCTTCGAGATAATTTCGAGAGCGACTTATCCCTTTCTTTTACCCCTCTTATTCGTGAAAACCGCTAAAGTTACCGGAACAAATACTTTCCTCGGAAAGAATAACGCTATACCGATTCGAAAATTATAATTAAATACGGAGACACGAAACAATATTAAATTTAAAAATTAGATTCTCGGTTAGAACATAGATAGAGAGGAAAATTTTCGTAGAATTTCGTTAAAAGATGAAAAATAACGAAGAGTAATGAAACTTGAGAGACCTTGAAACGTGTTCTATGGAAAGTAGCAACGTTCGATCGCGTCAGAGGGCGTATCCAGAACATTTCCTCTCGCTTCACCTAATCACCGCTACTCCTTCACGCGTGTCGTCGGGCGGCAAAGTTTCCGTAAACTCTGTCAAGCTATTAGCCGAAGGATTTGCAATTTTTGCGCGTGACCCAGCCCCTAAAATCGGTTCTGATTCATCAAACTGCTCGAACGCTTTTTCATCCTGCCCGATCAACGCGTTGAGTAATTGTCGCTATTAATATCTGTAAAGTTCAATTCTCGAATTCAATATCCAACGACGAGGTGAGACATCCTGGGCCGCGCCCTGCTCGTATCTTCTTTCCTCTGCCGCGTGTATTTGCTCTTGTCGGAGAAATTTATACGACGACAGCTTTATTAGAAGTCGTCCCTATTCGTTACGCGAAATTGAAGTCCCCTGAACGGGGGTGGGGGGGCTCTGAGCGCGAAACCCTGTCGATTGCACGCAAATATTTACACGCGCGAAAAATGTTGGGACAAACCGACCAACTTGTCCACGAGTCTATCGCTGAACGACGAGGTTCCTGTAAATCACACCCTTGCGAATCAGATCGGGATCAGTGCTGTCCACGAATAAAGATCTTTCAGTCATCCGGAGACTGACCGAAGTCGTTAGACCGCAGAGTAATTTCTATAGCCGACGTTCGAGGCACAAAATACTACGGGAAGACTCGAATCACGGGTGATCGAAGCATAGACAGCACTGACAGACATGACATATATAGATACGCCATACGTAGAATGCGTGTGAGCAAGGTGAAAGAAGATAACGCTGAGCAGCCACAGAGAGTAGCCAAAAAGCTCGATTATCAGGACCCGAGTAAACTCGATTATACAATGGTTTGTTACCTTGATACTGTCGTAGCAAGCAGTGACCCGTCCGTTCTGCACCTCGACGTTAGCTGGTGGATGGGCGAACTTGCACTCCGTGTCAGGCCTGGTGCACTTGTTGCGCTGGAACTCCCTGCAAACCTCTAGCTGGAGCCACCGGGAGTCCTTGCCGTTCAGTAGGTTATTCATGTTGACCATTGCCATAATTCCAAGTCCTGGAAGACCGTGGGACTCCTTGCTTAGGCTGGGCTAACACGCGGTACGGCTTTTCTACCGACTTTAACTTATCCTCTTCCTCTGTGACCGGCTGTGATCTCCGCGTAGCCTTGCCTGTTTAGTCGCGTTCACTCGCACCGGCTGATCTTGCCAAGGATACAATTGTTTTGCTTTATTCAAACCGGCCCTGGAGACTCATTGGCACTTGCGGGAATTTCGTCGAGCAAGAGACACAGCCACCTCTCTCTCTCTCTCCCTCTCTCTTTCTCTCTCGTTCTTTCACCGACTCACATCCACGTGCATCCACGTATTGCTTCCGCTTTCAATCACACGAGGCCTTTCATTCACGCGCACAACCGATGAATCGTAACCTACGAAGCGTCCGTTTTCGTTCCCTTTGTCTCGCTCTCAATGGAACGACTTGGATGGATGGCTGGATAGAGGATGGGAGCGTTGGATCCGAGGATCCGCGCGATCACGCAGGAGAATTCGAATCTGGAAGGTGGCCTGACGCGACGATTCAGGACAATAGGAACAGGCAGCTCTTGCAACGGACACCTCGCGAGGGATACGATTCGATAACCCGTTGGCAACGATCGCACACCGTTCAGACCACTCGCTAGATCAGTCGCTCATCGAAATCCCGTAAGTGCCCCCGAGCTGTGATACTATGATAAATATGGTACCTTTCGCAAGATGTATTTCTCTGAGTACGGTGCGATCTTATTGTCCCATGAACGAGTCTGCGGCAAGCTGCAGATCTTCCAGAGCTCGGACGATCTTCCTCGTAGATGAATCACGTAAAACACGCGGAAACCGGACGACCACGATGATCTACTTTATATCCGTATCTTCGACCGCGAAGTTACCCGTCGTTATACGCTCTCCTCGACTTCTTCCCTCTGTTAATACTCGTTTTAATTGCCTACGATTCGTTGTCGCGTATTATCGAACACCGTGTACGTATATAACGTACGTGCAGAAGGCTTGCGATTGTCAGCGCCGATGTACGGCCGATTCTAGACTATTTTTAGACCGTCGATGATCACACACCGTTATCGCCTTCTTGCTCTTTATCAAACACAGTTGTTATCGATCGCAGCGTTAGTGGTGTAACACAGAGACAGTGCAGTGCTAGGCGATGTTTGTCAGTTAGCGATTAGCGGAAGAGAGAAAGAAAGCTTCCTTTCGGTGCTTTCGCTTTTCTTTTTCGTACCGTTGCCACCGATTTCGACTCGCTCGGCGTAGATCCTGGCAGGGTTACCGAGAGGCAGCGGCGATTGCTAACGGCGGAAGAGGAACGTGCGTCGGGCCCTTCTGCTGGCGGGGAAAGAGGCGAAGGGGTATCTCACCGTGAAAGAAAGTGAAGTGAAGTGGCGAAAGAGGGACGACACACGTGTGTACGTCTGCCAGCGATTAGGCTCTTCTATCTCTTATTTATCTGCTATTTTAGGCGATGCTGGGCGTCAGCCACGGTCGACCTGCTTTGCCTCTAGAGACAAGGTAGTTCGATAGATCCTCGATCCTCGATATCTCTTTCCACCGATTCCACTTCCTTATCCTCCTTTTATCTTCGCACGATGCACTCGGTGAGCTTTAGAGGGCGCGCTTAGCAACCGGAGCGTGGTAGTTGGGCAAAGCTTGAAAGCCTTCGAGAAGCTAAACGTCGACCACGAGTGTATGCTCTCTAGGCGCGTTTATTTTTCTTTGTCGGTATATAGGCTGTGCTGCTGTTGCTTCGAGTTTTATTACAGATATATATATATATATTTGTGTGTGTATATATATACGTGTCTCAAAAAGCCGGTCGTGGTGTCCTTCAAGCCGGTTCTCAAGCTACGCGTGTCTCGAGTGTAGAGTCTACTGGACGAGGAGGGACGACTCCAAGGAGGTAGTAGTAGTGATAGTAGCAGCGCTAGTAGTAGGCCGTAAGAAAAACGGAGCTAGAGACGCTAGAGCTCTCGAATCTGTCGTTTCTCGTTTTCTCTCGAAAAAGGTCACCTCAGCGGCGGCTGTGCCTCTTCGGAAAGGGACGAGACAAAGGGTGACTGCGGCTCGCACTCCGGAATAGTGGAAAGGAGCAGATCTCGGGCCGGCGAGAAAAACGGGAAGAAGGAGAGGCGGGAGAGTAAGGTTCGAGAGTGAGGTTCGAGAGAAAGGCTGGAGAGTAAGCACGAGAGAAGGCGGTAGGCGACAAAGCGGTAAAGAGGCAGGGTCAGAGGTCCGGCTGTGTGTCAGGTCGTGGATCGCAAGTGGTTCCGGGGTCAGGCCGTGGTGTGCCGGGTCGGACGAGAAAGGGTCGGGACAGGAGAGACGTGGAAACGGTAGAAGAGAAAGACAGAGAGGGGAAGGTTTGGTAGGGGAAGGGGGATTGCGAATTAGCGAGTGACGTTGCGTTTCCGTTCCTCGGATTTACGTCATTTATTCGGCGCACTCCTGGTTCCTCCCGCGGTCGAACTCCGGATTCTGCTGTTCTGGAAACATACCAAAAGCGAAAACTCGCGTTACTGCGGATGCAAAGGCTTAAAATGCTTGTTTCTAGGGGCTGCTTGGGTGAGAGGGGTGATGAGCAGAGTCGATGAAAGGTTTTAGCTTTCGCAGAGAAAGAAAGAGAGATAGATAAATAGATGTAGAGCAGACTCCCATATAAGGCGAGTTCTCGTAACGCGAACTGCTACAACGCGCTGGGGATGTTCAGACCACTGTTTCCGTGTAACGCGATTGCTTGTGCAATGCGTTATACAGGGTGTTCCGTTATTTGCTCTATCATCGGGATCAGGCTGATAAATCGAGGAGAAAATTCAATTTGGAAAGTGAAATTTCCATTTGCGCGTGTATCGATGCTTTGATCGTTTAATTACCATTGAATCTCGAAAATAAAAATCTACAACACGGACAAGAATTTCGGAAATTCTGTAACTAACATGAAAAATATTATTTTCGATTTTCTCGAACGTTGTACACAAACGTGCTAGGCTATGTACACTCGGACACGAAAGTATTCGAACGTTTACACTTGCTGTGTTCAGCCATTGGAATATATATGTATGCGAGTTTCAATGAAATATTTAAAACGATACGGTATATGATACACGTGTCAAAGAAGGAATTCCAAGATCAGAAAATAATTCAATAACATATTTACATTTATTGCGGATACGAACCATGGTGGCGCTAGTGAGTTAAATACACAGCCATCTTAAGGCAACGTTATATTCTAACTCCTTATTCTACGATTAATGCTACTTTTCATTGATATTACACGTTATTTATGCAATACATTTATGATTCATCGATCATGCGTTTCTGTACTAGATGAATTATATAATCTCGACAATTCCTTCTTGCTGTATACCTCGTAATTATTTCAAATATTCCAGTTTAACGTGCATATATCCCCTTTTAAAAATAGTACAAACTAATTATTCGGATATTTTCACGTATGGATGTTAGCCACGAGTGCGTATGGATAAAGCGGATCTTCAATCTCGATTTTTTCGCACCAATGTACGAGGAACCACCTGATACCCGCTTGTACGTATCTTTCGGGAACACCCTGTATATATATAGAGGGAAAAAAACACAGAAACAGATATATGTATGCGTTTGTTTGTATGGTTTTACGTGTAGATGGATGATAAAGCAGAGGCCGCGAACATAAAGAGGGCAAAGGTAAAGTAGAAAAAGCGCAGGACTACCGATGCAAGCACGCTTAATCGAGTAAGTGAAGCCGTTTTAATGGCGTCGAGGACCTCGGTCAACCAGCTACATACGAGTTATCATCGAAATGTAAAGGATCGCTTCGATTTACTTTTTTCTCTATTTCCGAAACGAAAAAGAAACGCGTTGATTAGATTAGATAGTCGCGATACGAAAATTGCACGAGTTAATCTCATCATCCACTCCCATCCCACCCCACTTCGTCCTCTAGGATCTCGCATATGTGGCTATGAACGACAGGTTTTTTCCATTTCGAACGAAAACCATTTTCGTTCCGTTCTATTTTTCATTTTCCGAATTGTCTCGAATTTTAGATGCTCAATTTCTGTTCTTCCATCTTTAATTCGGAATATTTACAATAAATTTTTACCTTTTGATTCGTGGAGCTGATCGATTTAGGAAACGAGTGCTATCGATTATGAGAGTGATCTAAGTTAAAAAATATTTTGGGCTGGACGAATTTATATAGCGATAAAATGAAATTATCTTTGACAGAATAGCACAGAATCGAAGCTTTGAATCGTTATATGTATTATTATAGTTCGTTGAATTTGAACAGGGTATATAATATATAGCGTTTGGAAAGGGAAAAAATAATCGACTTTCGGGCGATTATGGCTGAAGTTACGAGACAATCTTCAAAGTTACGAACAAATCTTATCATTCGATAGGCACAGCGATTCTTATCGGTCGAATAAAACGTATTACGTACGGAAAAAGATATCGTAAAACGAGGTTAGACTCTGAGAGAAAATAAGGAAACAATAGGTCTATCTATATAGACCGGATTAATAAAAAAGAGTTATCAAACTGTTGATGGATTAATTTTTATTAATCCCTTGCACTCGAGAGTCGATTTTTAGATAGAGTCCAGTAAAATGATAAAGTACTTGATATTAAATTTGAAATAATATATGAAAAATAATAATATACAAATAAATAAATTTAAAATAATAGATACGTGAACTGTCGAAATTAAATAATTCTATAGGTTAATACATACGTGATGGATAGAATTAAAAAATTTGAAATAATACATTACGAATATTAGAATTTAAATAATAAATTTTAAACAATAGAAAAATCGAAATAAAATAATTCTATACGTTAATTTATACATGATTTCGATTCATACTATATATTATAAATTACTATATTTTAAATTACTATAAATTACTATATATTATATCATATATTATAAAAATAACGGCGATTTTTTATAATTTCATAAAATTTTATAAAACAGCTTCGAATTGGTATTTTTCTAGGAGAAACTATCAAAAAATAGGAAATTGATCGATTAAAACGAGTCTTGTTCGAAATTCGATTAGGTCAAGATAGGATAAAATTCGTTGCGACACACTGAATACGGTTTTAATTATCATAGCTAGCATTTCACCTTCGAATTCCGGAATAGATCATGGTTTCGACTCCAACTCTTATCGATAAATCGTAAATGATCACACTTTCATTATCAATTTCCTGTGATCCTACTCGACGCGAATTCGCGTTCAGCGTAAAGCGGGTATACAGTCATTCATAATTGATGAATGAGTGCTAAAAGTGGAAATGTGGAATATTCCGTGACCCCGTGGGAAAGTTACAAGAAAAATGAATGAAGATCGTAAATAATAACATTCGTCGTTCTTCGGGCGCAATTGATATCGAAAATAGCGATGGTCTAGAATAATAACTGCGGATGAGAAGACATAAATATCCGTTTGGCAAATCCGTTGGTGATATACTCTTCCGAAACTGATAAATTATAGTGGAAACGAGGAAATAAATATTTACAATCGAGATATACGTATCGTTGAAAAATTCGAGGAAATCCGTAGAATATCGTATGTACTATATATAGTATCCTATATACAGCAGTACAGTATAAGGAAATAAAGAATGTAAATAAAATACGATGACAATCAAGTCCATCTGTTAACAGGTGAAACTGAGAATAATGGAGTGTTACTATGATACAGTGTTTTAAACTTATTACCAACTCGGTGGTGTGTATTATATTTTGAAAATCGTTGCTGGATATTTTCATTTGCATATATAATTGCAAGCAAAAGTTCCTAGGTATGCGTCTTGGAGCTGAACCACATGGGGTGAAACCGGCATTATACAATTGTACCCCAGGCGACTGGTCGTAAACTAACCTTTAACTTTTGTTTATGGTTATGAGCGATTACACTACTGTGTAATTATAAGATAAAAACCGGCAAACAATAGTGGAATTTTCAAAACACGAGGAAAAATATCACAAGTGTAATTAATAGAAACGTGGATTACTTATAGACAGTTCAAACAGTTATTAAATAAGAAAATAAGTAATAAAATATTGTTAATGTACTAGCGGTAAACTAAAATATCGTAAAAGTATATTAAAAACAAATTTCTTGCAAATTTTTTACAAATTAAATATTAAATACAAACTTCTGAATAAAATTTTGTGGAAATTAAAGTGATAAACCTGATACCTCGAGTATAACTTAAAATTAATTGAAAATTAATTATCGCGTCGTTGTTTATTCAAAAAGGAAATTGGATATATCGTATATCATTATTTGGGGTTCTCGAACATCTAATTTCAACTACACCAATCTTTCATAAATTAAAAAAATTGTAAACCTAAAATCTAAAGTATAATACTCTGTACAACGATATTAGTCTTTTTCTAATATTATATAAACATTGCTCTTTAACAGAATTACAGAAAGCCCAATTCTCGACGACTTTTTGCTATTTTACGTCGAATATTGAAACATTCAATGAATCTAATTTCAACTATGCGACTTTTTTCATTAATTAAAAGACATTATACCAAAGTATAATATTTCATCTAGAAACACGATCATGACCCTCCAAAATCGAATTATTACGTTAAATTAATTTTCTTCGAAATTTCGTTTACCCTGGACGCGATGTAATAAACACACGTGATCGATAGTTTCCCATTTCTGATCCCAGTCGTTTCATGTAACGTTTCCAGCTTCCTCGGAGGGATCAAATCGACGTTAAAAATCAAACACGAGGCTACACCGCAATCTAATCGTGCTTGCAGTTAAGCAGAGAACAGAAACGTTGCAAACACTTATTGCGTAACTTCCTCGTATCGTTCACCTTCGTTCCACGATGTTATTTCAGACAGGTAATACTGCAAGCGATATCAGCCTGTGCGAATTTTTTCGCTCGTAATCCATGCAGAACCGTGTATAATTTTGCACAGGTTTCTCCTACTTGGCGCACTAGCTGCTACTCACGCACATATTCTGTCCAACCAATTATCCAAGTAACGCTACTCAAGCAACTGTTACATCTTCATTACTGCACATTGCAACAGAAACACTTGCAATGACTAACAACGTAATGAACAATGCGCGGAAAATGAACTTTATTGCTCGGAATAGAGATTTGTTCGTCGAGAGAAGCCTATTTAGATCGAGAAAACAGGATAGATGCAAGAGAAAGAAGGATAAAACTGACGATAAGAGAATCTATGAACATTGGCAGAAATGTTAATTACAAGTTGGAATTGTTTGGTGAAGAAATAATTATTTAATTCCAAGGAAAATGAAATTCTTTGATGGTATCTATTCGAGTCACGTATTTTCATTTTTGAAATATCTCGTTGAAGTTCTTAACACAGATTCTTCCCGCTTGCATAATTTTTTCTTTATCTACATTTTTCAGATGAATCGCAAGCTTGGTTGATGGGCTCTGAAACCCAATTAACAAAGAGACTAGAAATATG